GCCTTCGCCTGCTCCATTGTCTGCAGCTGCTCAGAGAGCTCCTCCGACGTCGATGTCAGTCGTTGCTGCAGACCATCACGCTCAGCTGTCATCGACTCCAGGCTGCGCTCCACTTCTGCCTTCGCCTGCTCNCAGTCTGCCCGTATGCAAATAGGCATGAGTTGAATCCATTGAAAGCGTGGCGCACAAGCGGTCGTCCTATCGCCTCGTACACCTCCAGCTGCCCGGCAGGACGGCCACCAGACTCGTCAGGGGTTTCAAGGGACCAAAAAACATTATCAAACTGAAACGACTTTTGGTCTGTAACGCCGTTCACTTGATACTGATCTATCCTTAATGTCACTGTTGCATGCTTCGTGTTTACAGACATACATGACTGTGATCCCTGTGACACCTCTCTTGTACTGTATGGTCGAACTCGTACTGCTACTTTGAGGGATTCTTCTTCTTGTGTATCTTGTTTACTGTTCTTTTGCGCTTTGCTTTTGCGTTCTAATTGTGCCATTATTTGCATTAACGCAGTGTTTATTGTTTATTTATGTGATTCTCTGTAGATATCTCTATATTCTGCAGAACAGCTTACTGAACCTGCAAATGTCTGAATTTTCACTAATTTTTCCTCTGTTGGTGTCTCTGTTTTCTTAAAAACTGACGCTATTTTTCTTTTGCAATCAATTTAATAAAAAAATGGGTATCACACTCAAAGCGAACAGATGCAGAAAATCACATGGAGAAAACAGAGAGAGTATACAACGCGATTTAACAAGAACAATATATATATACAACTGTGATAGCAAATGCACAGTAGAAACTGTATATAAAACCCTTAACGAAAACAACATGTAATAATGGAATAGTCACGCAGAAACCGAATTCCATTAACTTTACTGTTCTTTGCCGTGCTGATAAAAAAATTAACAGGAGTCGATCTATAGTAAAGAAAATAAAGCAGAATATGTCACAAAGTAGAATATGACAAAAGGATATTGGGAAGGTGACACTACTGTCGCATTAAAATGGACCCAATAATATCACACAAAGATTACAGCATCAGAAGAAGAGTGCACCACTCCAAAAACAGCTACCATCAAAAAAAAAAAAAAAATGATGCACCTTTCCGCAGATACACATACCAAATATATGTCTGACATCCACTAAAGCAATCAAAAAAAAAAAACAAGAAAGAGACAACGCAACACAAAACATCGACAAAAAAAACACTCGAAAATCAACAACAATAAAAACAACAACAAGAAAAAAAAAAACACCATCCAAATTAAAAACGAAAGAAACAATAAAACAAAAAAAAAAAACAGTTAAAAAAAAAGACACCCGTAGAGCACGCTCATATACAATCACACAAAAATCAATAAACGGACATTTTCACATACACTGCCAAAAATAAATCAAATACTAGGAAATACGCAATTACTCACTTCTTAATTCCAACCACAGAGCGCGTCAATGGATACTCTGACACAGTTGATGTGGAGTCATTCAACTTACCACTAGACCTCCACAAGTTAAGACGGACGTTCACTGCCTCAAACTTCACTAAACAGTGCTGCAGTTGGGTAAAAAGAGAATCATTCTCACTCTTCAACTCCGAAATGTACGCCTTCGCCTGCTCTACCGCTTGCAGCTGCTCAGAGAGCTCCTCCGACGTCGATGTCAGTCGTTGCTGCAGACCATCACGCTCAGCAGTCATCGACTCCAGGCTGCGCTCCACTTC